AACGACTCGATGGCACATAACAACAACAACTGCTTTATTGTTGTCTATCAAGTTCATTGCCATCAAGTCAGAACTGACCCTTAGTTGACCGTCCATTGTCTTTTTGAAGGCCTTAAATTGCACTGGAGGCGATTGCCCACCTTTCTCTCCGAGGTGCTGATGGATTTGAACTACTAAAGACACCGCCTTCGGGATAACAGCAGAGCTTCTGTGCTCCCATTTTTGAGTTATATTGGAACCTAAATTATTACCAAATATTTATTCCTGTTGGAGGAAAATCTAATAAGGGACTTAAACAACCAGTCTGAAGTCAACATTAACCCACTTTAGGCAGGTCCTTATCAAGGCTACACAATACCTTTTTATGATACTGATTTTATTCCTTAAATTGAGAGATCTTACAGAGAGTTCTGTGTCACACACATGCTACATTTGCAAGAAAATTCTTTTATAACAAAACAAAACCCCAAAATCTTGCTGTGGTTTAAGGGAAAGTTTATACAGCAAATTAATTTTCCAGTCAACAGTATATACACATTTTGATTTTAGGGACTAGCTACAATTGCCTGAGTATGACAGCATTCTCCCTGGGTTCCACACTTCCATTCTTTCATCCTTTCAGACCCTTGCCTTTTGGTCTACTGGTTGGTTGTACTGAGGAACAGTCTTCTTTCATGTTATCATTTACTTTACAGGACTCTCTTGTTTGGTTGAAAATTGATTTTTGAGTGGGTTCAGTTTCAGGCTCAGAGGTGTCTTAAAGGGCCATCATCTTGAGGGTTCCACTATTAAGCATGTTGTTTGGATTTGTATTTGTTAAATTATTTTGAATTTTGTTTTATGTCTTTTTTTTTTTTCCTTCTCTGTCCACCATCTCCAGGGTCCATCTAAAATGGTCCCAGGAAAGAGACCTGAAGAATTAAAGGCTGTGTCCATATGATCTGTTAGCTCTTCAGACTAATTGTTTCCTTGAATCTTGAACTCTTTTTTTCACTTATCTTTGTTCCAAATGGGGAAAGACCAATAGTTGAATCTTAGATGCTGCTTGAAAGCTTTTAAGACCATAATCACTACTCAGCAAAGTGGGATGTAGAACACTGTCTCTGGTCTATGTTATGTCAATTAACCTAATTGCTCCCAGAGACCATGGTTCTAAATCTGATCAGCTTAATGACTCATTCCTTCAAGGTGCTTGCTTATAGATAAGAAGTTTTCAGAACTTTCTCCCCTGTGTACTCTACTAAATCCTTGAATATATTTGTAGAAATGCAAGAGTATTCTTGTATCTTAATATTATTGCATATAATTTTTCAGTAATGTCCATTGACATAAACTAATGCTGATAATGCAATGAAAGTGTCCGGTATTCTACAATTAACTTGAGTTAGAGGCTGTATTTCAGGTTTAACCAAAGATTGTTAAAGCTCATGAACTAATCAGTGTACTCTTCATTCCAGAGGTGGCCACCCGTACTTGACAGGTCTGGCAGTGGCTGGCGGAGCATACTACTTAGGCCTGGAGGGAGCCATTATTGGGCCCATACTTCTTTGCATACTTGTGGTTGCTTCCAATATCTATAGTGCTATGCTGGTGAGTCCTACAAATTCAGTGCCCACACCAAACCAGACCCCATGGCCTGCTCAGACTCAACGGTGAGTTAAAATGTATCATAAAGTACCATGTGTGAAAATCCAACTATCCTATCTTAGTATTTTTGATCAGACTAGTCTTTACATAATCTGTAGAGACTTGCAGTTAGCAATGCCTCTCTCTGGCAGTTTGAATCCACCAGTGGAAAGTACACAGATGTGCAGTCTCCTCCTGTCTAATTTTCAGTCTCAGAAACTCAGTAGGCAGGCCAGCCATGAGTCAGTTCCAGCTCAACATCAGGGGAGTCTGTCAGGATACGGATATTTCAGTACCAGTAGTGTGTTAAACATTATAAAAAAACCACTCAATTATTTACAGGCTTCGGAATTAAAAGAAACTAAGTTGGGTTAGAATCTATGTCTTGGAAGATCAAATCAATAAATAAATGAAGCCTAATTTTTGGGTCTTGAGCTAGTAAATTACAGAGCAAGAAAGAAATAGGACAGTCATCTGCATGTATGAGTTCTTGATAAGATCCTTTATAGACTAAGTGTCATGAGAAGACTCTAAAGAACATTCTGGAACAATTAAATATGCAACAGATGAAATATATTATCATGTCAATGCTAAATATCTTGGCTCTGGCATGAGTACTTTGTTTATGTAGGAGAATATCCTTTAGGGGGTAACATAACGTGGTATCTAAAACTTATTTTCAAATACTTGAATTAGAATAGAGAGGGACAGATCGAAAGATCATAGCAGAAGCATCAATTACTGAACCCAGTGGAAGGCATATGGCTGTTAATTGTACTGGTATTTTACTTTTTCTGTAGATTTATACTTTTTCAAAATAAAAATTGGGGAAAATCTAAGGGCACCAATATAGAACTACAAACTTACTTTCTTTTTAAGTAAACTTTTCATTTTGAGGTATATCTTGCATATGGTGTGCTTTTTTTAAAAAAATACATATTTGTAACCCTCTCCCAGATAGAGAATATTTGTTTCTTTAGAAAGTTTCTCCCAGACCCCTATTTTACCAGCATTCTGGCCTCTCTTGCCTTAGTTTTGACTACTAATGAACTTCGTATAAAATAATTTAATATGCATTCCTTACTTTGGTTTCTTATAGAGCTCAATATTTTATGTGTGAGAGTCTACTCTCCCCCACCCCTGTGCTCCCTCCCAGCTATGTGATAGAAGTTACTAAAACTGTGATTTAAAAAACCACATCAAGTAATTTACTGCACTGCAGCATTCCAGCTTAGCTGTGTAAATTATGTAACAAAAGGTTGGCACCTTTTATTTGCAAGAAATGACCATCGTGCCTTGCATCCAAGATGTTACATATCAGTTAATAATATTGACATAATCTGCATGATGTGAGACAGAGATAGGATAAGTACAAGGTCATTGATTAAAAGTCCACTCTCCTCCCCTGAACCTGATCCATTAGAACTTGGACTGTTCTCGATAAGGTATCCTATCTAATAGTGAAAGATTTCCACTTAGCACTTTCCCCATGCTTCTTTTTGTTTAGCAAAATCATGTCCACTTTTTAGCCACTAAGAAGCAAGAAAGACTAACATCCTTTTATTTTTAAGGACATTGTTGTTATGTGCTGTTGAGTCGCCTGCGACTCATAGCAACCCTATGTACAACAGCCCTAAACCCTCCTCTATCCTGTGCCAATCTGTCTCCGACACCCCAACCCCAATTACTCTAGTCACTGAATCAGTCCACCTCATAGAGGGTCTTCCTCTCCTCTGCTGTCCCTCCACCCTCCTAAGCATGACATCCCTCTCCAAGGACTGGTCCCTCCTTGCAACATGTCCACAGTATGTCAGACAAAGCTTTGAAATCCTTGCCTCCAAGGAACAGCCTGATTTAACCCTATCTAGGATGAACGTGTTTGTTTTCTTAGCAGTCCAGGGTGTATTCAATACTCTTCTCCAGTACCACAGCTCAAAGACATCAATTCTCCTTCTATCCTCCCTAGTCATTGTCCAGCCCTCTGACACATAGCAAATGATTGCAGAGACCATGGCCTGTATCAGGTGCACCTTAGTATCCAGAATTGCATCATTGCTCTTCAGTACTTTGGAGAAGTCTCTAATAGCTTACTTTCACATCGCAATACTCTTTTAATTTCCTAGCCAAGAGTGTTGATAGTGGAGTCAAGCAAATGAAAGCTGTTAACAATCTCAATCTCTTCACTATCTATCATGATGCTTCCAATTGGCCTGGTGGTGAGAATCTTAGTTTTCTTGATACTGAGCCTCAATCCATATTGAAGGCTGCAGTCCTTGACCTTCTGCAGCAAGTGATTCAGGTCCTTCTTCTCAGTTTCAGCAAGCAGGGTTGTGTCATCTGCATCATGCAGATTGTTGATGAGTCTACCTCCAATCCTGATGCCACATTTCTCCTCATACACCCCAGCCTCTCGGATAGTCTGTTCTGCATATAGGTTGAAAAAGTATTGAGATAGGACACTCTCTCTGTCCCTGGCGTACACCCTTCCCAGTTTTGAACCATGCAGTGTTTCCTTGCTCTGTTCTGACAACTGCCTCCTGGTCCAAGTATAGGTTTTGCATTAGCATGATCAAGTGTTCTGGGATTCCCATTCTTCTTAGAGTTAGCCACAGTTTGTTGTTAAATGCCTTTGCATCATCAGTGAAACCCAGATATACATTCCTCTGGTACAACATTACCTAGTAGAAAGAAGTTGTATAACACTTCTACTTACATCTCATTGGCCAGAGCTTAGTCATGTGGTTATATTTTGGTGAGAAACAATGAGTCCAGCAGAAAATGGACCATTATTTCTAAAGAATGACAGATAGCCAGCAAACTTTGAGCAATACTTTGAGTGAAAATGTGAAGGAAATAAAGTATATCATCTCAGTAATGCTCAAAGACTATAAAGTGCTATCTTATGGTGGTTCGTCATTGAATATGTTTTGTTATTTTTTTAGTTATTATGATAATCTTGCTGATCGTCTTATCTTTTGTTTTTATAGGACTTTCCGTGACATTTCTGAAGACCTAAAATCTTCGGTAGACTGATGTGGTTTCCACCACAGTCATTTCTCTGGGAACAGACAGATCAGCTCAGCTGTGCTGTGTGGCCTTCTGTCTTGTCAGCTGTGGCCTCACTAGCTCAGTCCAGAAAAGAAGCTGAACCCTCCTGACCTTCCATCAGAATGCCTAGACATGGGAGAACTTGCTGTGGCCTGCTTTGCATTTTAAAACACAGCTTTAGAACTTAGAAGTATGGTTTATTGACTTAATTGTTTCTGAGCTAAGATGGCTTGAAATGTTTTATTTTATACAATTACGTTAATTATTATTTTGTGTATTTATAAAGTTCTTTTAAGAGCTCTAAACTACATACTATATAGTAGATATGCTGTGTGCTGGTGGTCCTTGGGTTACACAGCATTCCCTGGATTAGGAACTTAATATTTACAGACAACTCCTATTTCCCATTAATATCATGTAAATTGGCCCTCACTTTGAAATTATGACAACTCTAGCTCAACAAATTGTACATCATAATTCTCTTTACTTGCTGCATGTGCAGGTTTTCTTTTAAACCATTTAAAAGATGTCAAGCATTTTTTTTGCACGATCCAAAAACTCACGCCAAACTCAGTGCCATCAGGTTTTGCTAAAGTTAGGCTACATAAGAACCTCATGCACCCATTCCGTTTGCCTGCAGCTTCACCTTAATAGATAAACCTGGTCATAGCCTGGAGATGATCAGTACTATGTTATTTTTTTTCCAGTTTAAGAAATCTAAACTTTTCTCACACAATAACTTTTCAATGAAGAGGATTTTTACCTTTTCATGTTTAGCCGCATGAGGTGGAAAAACGGATTTTCGACCATTCTGTCCCTCTGGTTTCTCCTTTACCTAAGGAAAAAACAAATCTCAAGTGTAGAAGTGGATATGACTTATTTATGGTTCAGGGGAGTGTTGCAACTACAAGAGTCACAGTGACTGAAGCTTTGCCTCCCCCTTCCTCCTCACAGCCCCTGATATACCAGTGTTAAGTTCCTGACACTTAGCTGACCACGTTGAAATACTCTGTAAGCTCTTATTAATGGTACCAGTGTGAGAATTCATGCTGGTATTACAGGGTTTTTTCTACCCTGATGTTCTAAGTTTTGCTTTTAAATGGGGGATGAAATCTCAGGAATAGCAGTACTTTGTTAAATGTACCTCTGTTATGTTATTTAAATCCTGCCAATTAGTTACTTATTAGCAGAATTTGTATTTTTGTTCTATCTCTTCATCACTTAGCAGTGCCTTGAGCATAAAACACTAACTCTTATGAAGGGTTGTTGAATTGTAACTTTTCAGGTATTTTAATAACCGACATCATGCTCTACAATTTCAGCAGCCTTTTTTTTAATTTTACTTTACAGCCCCATCATGCCAGCTTTCATATGCTTTAACATTATTTTACACATAAATGGAGAAGCTAACATTTGAAACAGTGGATGACCAACTCAAAGTGATGACTCAAAGTCATAAAACTGGACCTCAGATCTTGTTTACTCCATCACCCGACACGTACACAGTCTGTTACGGAGCCGCCTCTTGATATCTTGTCCAGTGTTTCCCAGGGCTGTGGCCTGAAGTAGATGCTGCTAGCCATTTGTTATGAATGCATTTAAGACTTGCCCTTCAGTTAGTGACAGGGCTGGAAGTAGATAAAAACACCTCTTAGCTTTATGCCCTGTTCCACTGCATAAAATAATCATCATCAAACTCTTCCTCTGCTTTAAGAGAATAGGCAGGGAAAAAGGGTTCATAAGTATCAAAGTTTTTCTCTTTTTGAAAACAAAAAATAGCTTCTTTCTAAGAAGTATCTAATACAACTTAAAAGCACATCTGTAAAAAGTTAACATGAGTTCTTCATGGAGTACACTATATGCAGATCTCTTTTATGATGAATCTTTCAATAATTATAATTTAATATGGGACAGTTTATTAGATTTGCTCACTAAATAACTTATTCCCTTCTTTAGTCAGTTGTTCCTTCATGCAGAATTTGTTGAGAGTTTGCTAAACGCTAGGCTCCACTCCAGGCACCAGGCAGGGTGCTAGGGGGAAATAATTCCTTAGAAGGCCTTCTTTCACCTTAAATCTTAACCAGATTATGTATAATGCTATTTTCTTTTTCATTAAAAGGTTAAAAAATCATATTTGTTTGTTATTCATTGTATGTTGGTACATTTATAACTCTAACTAGAAGCACATATTGTACACAATTAATTAATCCATGTACCCAAATTATGTTTGTCCAAATGTGTTTAGCTGTATAAAGTGATCCTGCATATAATTTAAGGAGCTGTAGTGACATTATTAAGGAATTCCCCCTCTCCCAACTTAAGGGTTGATGGTTTGAACCTATGAGTCTGTTTATAGGAGAAAGAGGAGGTATTTTGCATTTGTAAAATTTTATAGCCTTGAGAGAAAAGCGAACTGGGGGGGAAAGGGTAGGCAGAGAGGAAAGTGTGCAACAGTGTATGAATGGAAACCTAAAGTATCTGTAAACTTTCATTAAAATGAATTTTAAAAATTCCAATTAAAAAAAATAAAAAAATTCCAATTAAAAAAAATTATAGCCTTGGAGACCAAGTTGGACATTTCTATCCTCATAGATTGTTATTATTCAAAATCAACTCCATGGCAGTGGGTAAGGTAAGACTGTTGCTGAGCATTGTAATTAGTGTGAGTACCACATTTTTAGAGGGCAACTCTGTGCCTTTAACAGAATAGTTCAGGATTGTCAAAATTAGCACCACGGATGCAGCATCACCCTGCAATGTCGGGTGTGTAGATACCCAGAGCACCACATAGTGCCAATCAGGAAACTTCAACTGCCTCAGTATTCCAGTAACTGACCAGTTGAAGTCTAACTAAATCCAAATATTATACCCATAACTGATTTTTAGAAGATCACCAGGGATATCATTGCTGTTGTCAGATAGATCCTAAGTGAAAACAGAGGATACCAGAAGAATGTCTTTGTGATTTATTGACAATGCAGAGGCATTTGACTGTGTGGATCATAACAAACTGGCAAATACTGAGAAGAATGGGAACCTCAGAACACTTATACGAAACCTATACCTAGACCAAGAAGCTGTTATCTGAGCAGAGCAAGAGAACACTGCATGGTTTAAAATTGGCAAGGGTATGCATTAGGGTTGTCTCCTTCATACCTATTCAATCTGTAAACCGAGCAGATCATTTGAGAAGCTGGACTATGTGAAGAAGAAGAATATGCCATCAGGATTAGAAGAAAACTCCCCAGCAACCTGTTATGCAGATGGCACAACCCTGCTCATTGAAAGTGAGGAGGACCTGACACACTTGGTGCAGTGCTGCTCAAAGATTGCAGCCTTCACTGGATTGCATTTCAACATCAAGAAGACAAAAATCTGCCCACTGCACTGATAAGCAACATAATGATGGATGGAGAAATGATTGAAATTCTCAATTATTTGGATCCCCAGTGAACACCCTTGCTATCAGCAGATGTATTGCATTGTTCAAGGTTACTGTCAGGGACCTCTCCAAATTACCAAGGAGTGGTTATGACAGGTAGAAGACTAAGCTGTGGCTGATCCAGGCATGGTCTTTTTAATCTCTTGCTATGCATCTGAGAGTTAGACCATGAATAAGGATGACAGAAGACTTGAGGCTTGGAAAAAGGACAGAGCGATCCTTAGAGGCAAAGATGGTAAAACTTTGTCTTACATAATTTGAGCATTTCACTAGGAGAAGCTATTTCTTGGAAAGAGACATCATGCTTAGGAAGGTGGAGAACCAGAGAAAGACCTTAAATCAGATGGGTTGATACAGTGACTGATGCAGTGGACTCAAGAGTGTCAAAGATGGCACAGGATAGAACAAGGTTCTGATCTGTTGTCCATAATGTCACAATGAGTTGTACTTGGTACAGTGGCATTTAACAGCAACAAAGGCTGATGAATCGATTCCAACTCATTGTGACCCTATAGGGTGGAGTAGAACTGACCCATGCCAGGATTTCCAAGGCTGTATTTCTTTACATAACTAGATTGCCTAATTAACTCTGCTGGTGTAGTGTGTAATGTAGCAGTCTATTAACCAAAAGGTCACCATCTGCTCTATGGAGAGAAAGATGGGTCCTTTCCTGTATATATGCATATAGCCACGTTTTCCTCCCACAGAGTAATGGTAGGTTCAAACCATGGATGTTTTAGTTTAACTACAGAATGCTTTGACCATTATGCCCCAAGGTTTCTTGGAAAATCAGAGCCCCTCTAAACCAGAAAGGAATATTCCAGCATGTCTCCATTTCACCCTATATAAACACTTTGAAGAACAGTGATAGGGCAAGGAGACCAAATGATAGTAAAAGATAGGAATCTCAAGTTCAGATCTCAAAGATAGGGTATCTTCAGTAGGGATTTGACCTTGAATGAGAAAGTTCATTGGTCAAATAAGAATTGGTAGAGTAGGAACAAACCATTGTCCATAGGAACAAAGTAGAAGTTGCTTCAGTTAAAAAAAAAAGGTATATAAATCCTTCCACAATATTATTTTATTCCACAATGCTTTATAGCTTTATTAAAGATTAGTTTTAAGTACACACTTATTTCGTTGTAAACTGAACTGGGGACAGGGGATGTGCTCTGTGTAAGAAGATGGGGAGATTAAAACTCCCCATAAAGATGTACTCCTCTCGTTCCTGAAAGAGACTAGAATATGAGATATTAAACATAAATCCATATCATTCAAGTTCAAAATGCCTGTCACACACTTCCTGAAAGTGATCTCTGTCAGGCCGCCTAGATGTTAGATTTAATTATTTTTCAGAATCACCAGTGTTTTTAACAGCCTCTTACAAGTGAGATGACAGAGTTCTGAGATTGGTATGAGTTGACAGTAGGTGGATATCCTAGGAGTGTATGTTGGGTACCATTAAGTCAGAAATGAAGTATAGCTGATCCCCCAGAGAGGGTTTTCAGGGGCAAGAGATTGCCCATCTTTCTCGTGTGGAGCAGCTGGTGAATTTGAATTGCATGCCTTTGGGTTTGCAGTGCAACTGCTTACACTAGGCCACCAGAGCCTCCTAGAAGTGTATGGAAGACCACAATATTTAGAAACTCTGCAGGCTTTGGAAATGACAGCTGTCTATCCTACTTAAAGTGCATGTGTTAAAAGGCTTGTATATGAAATTGTTTGGCTCACCTTGATCTTAACATGAACCCATTGTGACCCACGAGGACACTTAGTATTTCTCATCCCAATGTGGCTGTGCTAGTGCTTAAGGAACGTTCAGTACTTGGCAGGAAATATTTGGAAATTCAGGACTTGATGTCTTAAGTTAGAAGAAAGTAGTTCAGTGAGCTCTCTGGAGCCTTCAAACTCAGGGTTTACAGAAAGAACCCTTCAGAACTTCACGTACAGTATTGCTAGCATGAATGTTCAGTGGATCTTTCAGTGGGAACAGTTTCTGGCAACATACTTCCAATTGATTAAGAACAGTAACTTTTTATTTTTATACTTTCTTGGCTTAATACGTTTGTCATTAGATATATTTCATTAACACATTGAAGCCCTATGAGAAATATAAACTATCTGACAAAACCCCCAACCCCCAAAAAACAAACCCAAACCAACCCAACGAGCTTATCTGAAACCAAATAGTGGGTTTTTTTATAGTTTTTAAAAATCAGGATCCTTTATCTGCCCACTGAAGTCAGAATTGCTGAGCTAGAATAGATCTTACTTATAATAATGATGCCATCCTCTCCTTTTCTAGGGAGGGAAATACATTTTATAGGTAACATGACTTGTCTTAACACAGCCAGTTAGTAACCAAATTCTGAGTAGAATGAACATTTTTTTTCCCTTTCAGTTCATTGTTATACATCCTTTTTCCATAGCAGCATTTGCCAAAATACGTTCCTTATTCTAATTCTATGAGATGTCAATGTAAGCAAATGAAGGGGGGAGGGGGCAATAGGGAGAAGGGGACTTGTGGTTAATTAAAACTGTGGAATGCATAATTTGTTTGATTTCTGTGGGACATATAAGGAATTTTAATATACTGTTCTGTATTATGAATTATATGAGGGTTTTAAAGACCATGTTTACTAGCGTTCTTTAGAGTATACCTCTTCTATTGAGAAAATCTCAAAAGGACTGTTAGTCTTTTGGAAAACGTGGTTTTAGAATAAGTTCAAAACTCTTTAAACCCTAATGGAAATACTGGATGGTAGACTTGTTACTGTGGTACCATGCAATGTTTTAATAAACATTAAAGTTTAGTGAGATGGTGGAGAGAAAGCATATTTACAGTATGGAGCTATATTTAAAATATCGAGACTTTTTCCTGATCTGTGGTGTGTAAAATCGGTACTTGTTTAGTTTTGCAAGTTTTTAAACAATTTGTGCAGGTACAATGGTGACCTATTGATAACTACATTTTAATAATGATTTTTGTGGCACTAGTTTCCAGATCCCTTTCATAATCCTGCCAGGCAGGTGTTAAGGATAAATTATCCTCAGTGTACAGATGAGGCATTGTTGGCTTTGAAAAGATTGTTATGAATTTCTTTTAAGTTAATACCAACCACAATTCCAGACTTCAGTTACAGGACTTTTGACTCCAAGTCCAGAGTTCTTTTCTCTACACCTGGCTTCTTGTCTGTTTTGGTCTTTCTTTCTTCAGCTTTATATTGTACAATAAAAGGTGTGGAAGTAAATCTTAAGTAACTTCATATTGGTTTATCAGAATGATTTGGCTTCTTATCATTTGCCATTTTTATGTCAGTAACCAGGAAAGTAATTTTAACTAACCCAAAGAAGGCCCTTTTGTCCCTTGCAGTGCCACTTATTTTAGATGACTGTTTTTAGAAATACTATTTGTTTTGAAATCAAGAACTATCTGCTTCTAATTGCTAATGTAACCTTTTGAAAAGTTGTGGTCCCAGCATTCTCAGGCCAAGTCTAGATTGTTTAAAAAGAATACTCAGATACAATAAATATTCTTTATTCTAACATAAGATACTGTTTCTTAGCTTTAATCTGCTTTGACAACCTACTGATGTAACTTCTTTGTAAATGTAAAATATTTATATTTTGAAATAAAATCAGTAGTGTTGGATGAACGCAAGCGGTAAACGTTTTATTGTTGTTCATTGTTATTATTATTCTCATTTTTGTTCTCTTTAGTGAAGCCTGACTTATAAATATAGTGGTCTGTCTTTTGAGGCCTTATATTTTGCCTTTTGCCTGTCTACACCGAAGGGTTTTTTTAAACTATCATCAATTTATGAAAGGGAAATATGTCTGGGAGTTGGATGCTAACAGGGGATCCAAGACTGAGGTCCCAAGTTTTGACTGCGTAGCCTGGCAAGCGAATCTTGAAAAAGCAACGAATGAATTACTACTGTTAGAGCACTTTTCCACAGTGGCTGAGCTAACCATTTTGCTGGTGGGATCGGGTGACATGAATGGAGAAAGCCTTGACAATACGGGGGCGGGGCCCGGCGGGGGTGGTTCTCGGCATGGCTGAGCAGCCCTGGCTGCCCGCTGGTTGGCGGCAGGGGCGGGACCTAGCGCGGGCGGGGCGTGGTGGCAGCAGTGCTCAGTGGTGGCGTAGCTGAGCAGCCTCCGCCACAGGCTGGCTGGCGGCAGAGGCGGACCAGGGTGGGGCGGGGCCTCGGTGGCGGCGCGACTGCACAATGCATGCGGCCGACTGGCTGTCGGCGGGGGTGGGGTCTCGGGAGCGGTGCGACTGCATAGTACGAGGCGCGGGCTGGCTGTCGGTAGGGGCGGGACCTCGGTGGGGGCGGTGCGTCTGAGTGGTTAGGCGTCTGGCTGTCTAGGGGGCGGGGCATGGGCGGGGCGGGACCTCGGGGGCGGTGCGTCTGAGTGGTCCGGACCGGGGGCTGGCTGCCGGCGGGGGCGGGGCCTCGGAGGCGGTGTGACTGCACAATGTGAGCCGCGGGCTGGCTGTCGGCGGGGGCGGGGCCTCGGAGGCGGCGCGGCTGAGTGGTCTCCGGCGCGGGCTGGCTGGTGGCGGGGCAGCGAGCTTCGCGGAGGCTGCTCAGCCGCGGATAGGGGCCATGGCTGCCTCTCCTGGCCCTGCCGGCAGTGGCGGCGCCGGAACACTCCTCAGCCCCGGCCCGTCGGGCTTTGCATTCGACTCGGGACTAGAGATCAAAACTCGTTCGGTGGAGCAGACACTGCTCCCGCTGGTTTCTCAGGTAAAGTGCTCAGCGCGGCCCCTCGCGGCTTGTGATGGCGGCGGCCGCCGGCTCCGCGCCCGGGCCAGGCAGAACTGCGGCGCCGAGGTCGGACTTCCAGACTCGGGGCTGGGCCTTGGCCTGGGCTGGAAGGCGGGCGTCGGAGCGGTCGGCAGCCAGGCTGGCCCGCAGGACCCCTCGGACTCGGGCCTTGGGATCAGCAGGTGCGCTGGAGGATGGGCCTCCCCGCCTCCCCACCCACCCACCCAGAACCCGCTTCGGGGCTGCTCCGATCGCCCTCGGGCTGAGCGAGCCCCCTCCGCCCGGGCAGGCAGCCTTGCCTGGCACCGAGAGGCTGGGACGGCCAGAAGGAGCCAGCTGTCCCAGGCCCTCCTGGTTGCTAATTTACTTATTGGCGATGAAACTTTTGCATCGCTAATCTAAGCCCCAGACTGCGGGCCACTTTGGGCACTTCAAATCTCAGCGTGCCCTCTTTCCCTCAGGCCTTTATCCCTGTCCCTTGCTGGTGTGTGGCTCAGTCTGTCTTCCACTCAACCTTGGGTCACCCCTGCTTCTTCGCTTTTAACCTGCCTTCTGTCCTTGGTCTGTCTTTGGCATCTTAGAAGAGAGAAGTGAAGGGCTTTATTAACCCAGTTGCACCCCCTTCTTTGGGATGTATGCCTTATTGGATTGTTGGTTCTCACAGAAATAAAAAAATCAACGAACTGCTACTTTGTTTTGGAAGAGTTTTTGTATAACTCTGAGTTGATTAACACACAGCCTAAGGGCTAGAATTCCTCACTTAGATTTGTCGTATTGGTGCCAACAACTACCAAGGGGAGTGAAGAATTATGCGCCTGCAGGAGCGCGTTGGCGATGAGTGACTCATAACTTTTCGTTGTAAAATCTTCATGACTCATACTGGTATTATCAACATTTTAGAGGTGGAAGGGATCTTTGAGACTATTTAATTCCAAATTGGGGAAAATAAAATCTTTCTAACCGCATCCTTGATACCATCCGCAGTTCTCTGCTTAAACTATAGCTTTGAGAGATTGTGTGTCCCATAGAATTTTCAATTTCCTTCCCCATTGTGCACATCTTTAGTTTCCTGTTAAATTGATTCGTAAATAGGTCCAGTTTCTTTGTTGTAGCTGTGTACCATCAAGTTGGAACCGACCCATAGCTGACCCTCCCCAGGGGTTTTCAGAGGCACTTAATCACACAGGAGGTGATTGCCCGTCCTTCTCCCACGGAGCATCTGGTGGCCTCGAACTGCATACTTTGGGGATAGCAGCATAGCAGCTTCTTGGCACAGTTTCTTTACATGTTCTTATTATAGAATGACTCTTAAAACAGGAATTCTGATGGCAGAGCACTAATGAACAGATCAATTCGTCTTTCATCCTTATTCATTGTCCAACTTTCAGATGAATAGCAAGTAATTGAAAAGACCATGACTTGGATCAGGCGTACCTTAGCCTTTAGAGTGACATCATTGCTTTCTAGTAGTCTGAAGAGGTCTTTGACAGCAAATACTTTGGGCATGTTGTTAGGAGGGGCCGCATCATGGTTGGAAAAAGTGGAGGGTAGGCTCAGTGAAAGAAGGGAAGACCATCAAAAAGATAGATTGACACAGTGACTGTAATGGTGAGTCTGAGTGCATCAGAGATGCTGAGAACAGCACAAGATAGGATAGAGTTCAGATCTGTTATTCATAGGGTTACTTTGAGACACACTCAGTGGCACTAACAACACTAACAATGAACAGGTGAACAGTTTGAATCCACCAGCTACCCTGCTTGAAGAAAGATCAGCAGTCTCCTTCTGTGAAGATTTATAGACTCGGAAACCACAGGAGGATCTTGCAAGTAGAAGTGGACTAGATGGCAGTAGGTTATCAGAATGGTAAATGAATGTACTACATGCCTGAGGATACCCGCAACCATACATCCTTTCCATTGAGGAACTGACCAGTGAGAAAGAATGCCAAGATCTGTATGCATGGGCCCCTTCATACCCAAAACAACCACAGCACAGTTGCCTATAAAGTGAGCAAGGCTAGAGCAGTTTCAGGAGTTATAGGAGAGTGGCCAAGTTAAAGATGCATGCATTTATTTCACAATAAATCAATCTTATTTTTATGATTTAATAAATAAGTCATATTTTTGCATACATTGATTTGTTGTTGTTATTAAGTGCCATCGAGTCGTAGGCAACTCATAGCGACCCTATAAACGAAAGACCTGAACATTTGTATAACTTTCATCCTTTCTCCAGGTTCACAGCATTTCTGGAAGCAAGCTATTTTAGAAGTGCATGTCACTCCTGCTTCCAATACATTGATTTAGTTAGCAATGTGAATATCATCCTCCAGAGTCCTAGAAGTATATGAGAAGAAAGGCCTGGTGATCTATGGGAGCACAGTTCTGCTCTCAACCATGTGAGGTTGCCAGGAGTGGAATTAACAATACTGGTGGTGGTAGTGATAGGGTGCTCAAAGGATTTTTAAAATAGTAAACTCCTTTAACCTTTATAATAATGCTGTGAGGTGGATGAATGTGTATTCTCATTTTACAGGTAAAACTGGGAAACAGGTTACATAATTTACCATCACTCTGTCTCAACTGGTAAGTATCAAACTAGGATTTGAAGGCAGGCAAACTGACCCCATAGTCATCCCCAGGGACTGTGTCCACGCTGGGTGCTTAGAAGCAGTGATGAGTGGGAGGTGCTGAGAAGAGAGTTTGCAGTGCCAGACAAGCCGGAAGGTTGTCTTGTTGTGGAGAAATAGTAACCTTTCACAGTATCTCTGCCAGCAGTGTATCACTCCAGCAGCTCTGCATTGTGTAATTCTGGGGTAAAAGAGGATGGAGCAGGAGAGTGGAGGAGGATGAATGTAAGTGAACTAGAGGTCACTGCCAAAGAGAGAAAAATGACAGCTTTTTAAAATTCCCTTTTAAAAAATGTCTGCTAGAGCCATTTTCAGTGCCACAGCTAGTTTTGCATCCTGCATGTTTCATGCTGTAACCAATAGTTTAATGATTTGCTGTGGTTACTGCATGCTGTCAAGCCATCCTGACTTACAACAATTCTTTCGACAAAGAGTTGCCCTATAGGGTTTTCCTCTTTGAGAGCAGATCACTAGGTCTTGTCACCAGAGCAGCTGCTGATGGGTTTGAACTACAGACCTTTTGATGAGTAGCATTTCACTATTACTCTACCAGGGCTCCTAATGATGTACTGTATTCAACAAGGAAAGAGTTGAAATTATGCTTAAAATTATAAAGTGGATAAAACATGGTCAGAATTAAAGTTAATTTCCAACATTAAGGAAGTAGGAAAGTGTGAAGTACAATTTAAAATTATTTTTGTGTTTCAGTGAGTGTTCTGGGGTTAAAGCTTTAGCTTTCTAGAAAATCTTACACATCCAGAAGTCTCATTTTTTAATTATGCTCTAATATTATCAAACTGATGTTTTCTCATGAAGCATGAATTCCTTAAGATGTTTTAAGTGTTAGTAGTAAACATTTATTGTATGTTTAGTAGTAGTAGCTGGTCTTTGAGCAGCTTGCAATCTGGTTGAGACAGGACAAGTGCAGACCATGGAGTTGGAATCAACTAAGCTGACCCTCCAGCATTTTCAGAGGCAGTAAATCACATGGGAGGAGATTGTTTCCTGTTTCTCATGCAGAGAAGCTAGTAGAGTTGAATTGTGTGGCTTTGGGTTGGCAACCCTACTCCTTACCACTAAGCCACTGGGCACTCCCTTGTATAGACTCACACATGCCAAATATCAAGTGGAAACTATTAACAATAAGTCCCCTAAAAGCTCAGAGAAAGTTTGAATGAGCCAGAATGCCATGTAGTAGATGGAGTCTTGAGGCAAACTTACAGCAATAACATTGTATAGTTGACCAAGTCTTAAGCAGATATGTACTATTGTTGTTAGGTGCCATCGGGTTGAGCACAATTTATAGTGACCCTGTGAACAAAAGGTTTGAACCCTGTTCTATCCTGTGTCACCAGCACACTTCCTGACACACAAGAGCCCATTGAGGCAGTCACCATGTCAGGCCCCCTGGTCAAGGTCTTCCTCTCCTTTGCTGGCCCTCCACCTTCCTACCATTATATCCTTCTCCAAGGAAGAGCCTCTTCTAGCAACATGCCCGCAGTATGTGAGGTGAAGCCTCATCTTTCTTACCTCCGTAGAGCACTCTGTCTGCACCTTCTCCAAGACATACTGTTTGTTCTCTTGGCTGTCTATGGGATGTTCAGTGCTCTTCTCCAACACCACAGCTCAAAGTCTGTCATCCTTATTCATTGTCCCGGTCTCATATGCACAACAAGTGATGAGAAAGATTGTGGCCTGAATCAGATATACTTTAGTCCTCAAACTGACAGATTACTCCTCAGTCATTTGGAGAGGCCCCTAACTGGATTTTTCCCAATACAATGTGTCTCCTTGTTTCCTGACTGCTGTTAATTATAGATCCAAGCATGATGAAGCTGTTGACAGTTTTAATCTCCTGTCCATCTATCATGATGTTGCTTAAGAATCTTTGTTTCCTTGACCCTGAGATGCAGTCTATACCAAAGGCTGCATTCCTTATCTTCTGCAGCAAGTGCTTCAAGTCCTCGTCACTTTTCAGCAAGCAAGTTTGTGTTAGTGTTATTTACTCCCATCTGATTCCTCAAGTGAAAAGTCCTGGACAACTGGCCTTATTCTAGGAATACAAGATTGGGTCAATGTTAGAAAAAGCACATACAGATTTCTTCAGTCATTAAAAAGAAGAGATAAGTGTTCACTCTGGAAATGCAGAGAAAGCATTTGATTAAACCCAACTTCACGTATGCTGCAAAACACTTAACTAAACGAGCAATAGAAAGAGCTTCCCTAACTTGATAATGAAAGTTTACAAAAACCCTTGCTTTTAACCTCATTGTTGTTATATGCGTGGAATCAGAACTGACTCACAGCTGACTCTCCATCAGGTTTTCAGAGGCACTAAATCACATTG